TTGGCCTCTTGGAAACCTTTATAACTTGTCTTTTGCTCTCTTGTTGATCCAATACCTGTAAGTTTATTACGACCAACTGTATAATTTTTCAGTTTGTTTACTCTTAGTCAGGTTATTGTGAAACATGGTCTTGCAGCAGAATCATTGAAATCATTGATCGAGAACGGTGAAGGATCCAGGTTGATACAGTATGCATCTTTCAATTTAAGTGCAGAGCGTGTCTCTACTTGAAATGTTTGACTCATTTTAGCTTTACTTATTTTGCAGTTATGATTTTGCATTTGTAGATGCCGATAAGAGGATGTATCAGGATTACTTCGAATTGCTTCTTAAACTTGTAAGACCAAGATCTTAATGCTTTTGTCTTCTCCATAGTGTCAAGTTAGCTTTAGCGGTTATATCTGATGATGCAGGTCAGAGTTGGTGGAGTCATTGTGATGGATAATGTTCTTTGGCATGGGCGAGTTGCTGATCCTATGGTATGCATCTTACGATAGTCATTCTCCAAAAAGCTATTACAATGAGAAGACGACCATAACTCTCATAACAATGAATTCAATAGGTGAATGATGCGAAAACCATCAGCATTAGGAATTTCAACAAAAAATTAATGGATGATGAACGCATAAGCATTAGTATGGTGAGTTTATTTTTTATTTTTTTTGTTTCTTCTGGTTTCTGGTTTCTACCGCTTTGTGGTTCCAACACAACAAGTTCTTCCAAGCTCATGCTTTGCTTTCCTTTTGCACATCAGGTACCAATCGGCGATGGCATGACAATATGCCGCAAGAGATAATCATCGTAAAAAAACCACTTGGGAGTCACATTGTACTTGATCCAAGAGAGAAGTCTTTGAACATAAAAGGATCGATGAAGCCGAGATATATTTCAGGACAGGGAAGCAGTGCTTTTGTTCTGATTACATTCTCACAAACAATCCTGCACGGAGAAAAACTCATCAACTTGGGAGGCCAACACATTCACTTACTATCATCAGCTTGTTTTGCGCTTTTGTGATCACTGAACTGTGGATCCCCTTTTGTACAAAGTCTTTTGTTTCTTTGATTTAATAATATCAAAGCGTCTTGCCTGTTTTAAACCAAACGTCCAAACCGGTACGAAATTTCCATTGTTTTTATTTTCAGTCAAAAAGGACATTAATAAACCGACAGCAAACCGAGGCTGCTAAAATACGACGCCGTCAAATTAAACGTCGTGATGTTTGATGGTTTGGATAAGAAACTGCGTGTCGTTTCTGTGATCTGCTTTACTCGGTTAGTGGGTCAGATTCAAACAACACGGTTACGCAAAATCTCAAAAATCCCCAAATCTCCTCAAAATTAGGGTTTCAATCAATCATTCATCACACATTGATCTCAAATCGGAATTTTCCTCTCCTTTCGCCACGAATTTCTTAGAGTTCTTCGGAAGGATTGGATCTCAGAATCGATTTCACGTGATGAATTCGTTCTCACTGAGCATCATCACCTTCATTTTGCTCTGTTTCTGCTTGATCGGCATACAAGCTACGGATGATCTCCCAGACAAATCCGGCGGCGATGTCTGCCCCGGAGGTTCGGATCCGGGTGGGTGTCCGATAAACTGTTTCCGGGCGGATCCGGTTTGTGGAGCCGATGGAGTCACGTACTGGTGCGGTTGTCCTGACGCAGCTTGCCATGGTGCTCGTGTAGTAAAAACAGGAGCTTGTGATGCAGGTAATGCCGGAAGTTCTTCTGTTCCGGGTCAAGCTTTGTTATTGATTCATATTGTTTGGCTTTTCTTGCTTGGACTCTCACTTCTTATTGGTGTTTTCTGATTATCGAAGAGTTCATAAGGAATATATCCCAATTCGTTTGTAACTTTTTTGTTATACTTTGTAGATCATATGTGTTTGAGTAGATTTCTTTATTACATTGCCTTCTTGTTGTTATAGTTTTGCTTTTTGTACTACGTAAATCTGGTCTTGACTTATGGTTATGCAATTATGTACTTCAACACCATCAATTGCGTTTAAAGGATGAGTCTTTGGATTTCTTCTTCATTTGGTTTGTTCTCAAGTTAAACCTTTTGTCACAAACTTGATGGATCTGCCATTGATAGTAGTGTTAACTGTTAAGAATATTGTCTGAGACGTGATCTATGGGAGATTGAGCATATAAAGGATTCAACTTTTAGACATGATCCTTCAAGAAGAAGATTAGTTGCTACACACGAATGTGAATACTTTCGATTTTCAGTTCTAAATGCTTTGGATCATCTTTTTGATTGATGGGTTTTCCTTTCTTCTTCGTTGGATTCAATGATTTCGAATCGTCGGTTTGATCTAAGGGTTCTCGTTCTTCTTTAGCGCCTAGTGTTTCGAATTTGATCAATCGGTTTACTTGAAAGGTTCTCTGTATGCTCTAGCTTACTGGTAATTAGATTCACATTCGGGTATGTAATCTAAAATGTAATGAATGAATCAAAGTTTCGAAACTCATTTTTGTCATAATCAGCTTGTGATTTTACCACTAGTGTTCAACTTTGTCCCAACCTCGACCAAGCCACATGAGTACACAAGAGTTTGTCGATAAACGTCAATGCACAAGGAAAAGACCAAAAAATCAAAATGAAATATAACGAGTTTACACAATAAGAAGAGTAGACAAAACCTTCGTGAACGTGGTATAACAAAAATCTAAACCGGACATTTGAAACAAGGTCTTGATCTTGAATTTCTGACTGCAAATGTTGATTCTCATTAGTAAATCTTGGAACAATGCAACAATTTTTACATTTTTTGTTCAAAAAGATTTTACGGATTAATTATTAATACATTTGATAAGTATGCCATTTGTAAAATGACACAAAAGTATGTTGTTTATCTGTTTTTTTTTTCCTTCAATTCGGTTTTTGTTTAGAGATTTTACATATTTGACACAAAATATTTGATTAAAGAAAATTCCATTGCCCATGTTTCCATTCCATTCTCATCTATCTAGTTTATACAGGGGGTTTTTGGTTCAATAGATTGAGGTGTTAGATCGGCGAGAGTGATGTAGGATGTGGTTCAGGTATGGTCTAGGCTTGTGAGAGTGGCTCGTGGTGGAGGTGCGGCGTGCTTATAGATCGGTGGTACTATGACCTTGTGAGTTTCTGGATCGGATTCATGATTCGTTAGCGCTTGTTGTGTGATTATGGTGAGACAAAAAAAAAATTGTCTATTCTCGTCTTGGATTGGAGTCTTCACCATCGCAGTTTTGCTCTTTGCAATATGTTCAAGTGACAATGAGGTCTCTGGGTTTTGGTTCGTATGTACCGTCCCGGCTTGTTTCTGTTAAGTCGGAACAGTTTAGGAAGGTTATGTTGCAACGTATCTGCCTTATTATTGTGAAACGGAGGGCAATTATTCATTGTTCGGGTGGTGATTCGTCTAGACTCAAATCAGTAAAGTGCTTCAAAAGATTGGGCTTCAATTTGGTCGCAAGGATCTCCATATCAAAACCTGCTTATTTTAGGCTCTAGGCTCTGCAAATCTATTAGCTTTAATCTTGTCTTTTTTTTTGCTTAGCTAGTTCTCTTATGTTGGCTTCTGCTTCTATCTTTTGGAAT